AGGAAAGGGTAATTTTCTTTTTATTTCTGTTTACTTCCATAATATCTCTCTTCCCAGGTGATGCTAGTAGTAAAGAACCTGCCTGCCAGTGCAGGAGTTGTAAGAGACTTAGGTTCAATCCCTGGGTTGGGAGGATCCCTTGCAGTAGGATATGGCAACCCACTCCTGTATTCTTGCCTGGAGAATCCCTTGGACAGAGGAGTCTGGCAGGCTGTGGTCCATGGAGTCACAAAGAGTCAGACATGACTGAAGAGACTTAGCACACACACTTCTATAATAGTGATAGCTAATACTTGTTGCTTACTATCTGCTAGGTCCCCATTCTAAGTTTTTAAAATGTAGTCACTCATAGTCAGTAGATGGGGAAACAGTGGAAACAGTGAGAGACTTTATTTTTGGGGTCTCCAAAATCACTGCAGATGGTGACTGCAGCCATGAAATAAAAAGACACTTCTTGGAAGAAGAGTTGTGACTAACCTAGACAGCATATTAAAGGGCAGAGACATTACTTTGCCAACAAAGGTCTGTCTGGTCAAAGCTATGGGTTTTCCAGTGGTCATGTATGGATGTGAGAGTTGGACTATAAAGAAAGCTGAGCACCGAAGAATTGATGTTTTTGAACTGTGGTGTTGGAGAAGACTCTTGAGAGTCTCTTGGACTGCAAGGAGACGCAACCAGTCCATCCTAAAGGAAATTGTCCTGAATATTCATTGGAAGGACTGATGCTGAAGCTGAAGCTCTAATAGTTTGCCCACCTGATGAGAAGAATCAACTCATTTGAAAAGACCCTGATGCTGGGAAAGATTGAAGGCGGGAGGAGAAGGGGATGACAGAGGATGAGATGGTTGGATGGCGTCACTGACTCAATGGACATGAGTTTGAGTTAAGTCCAGGAGTTGGTGATGGACAGGGAGGCCTGGTGTGCTGCAGTCCATGGGTCACAAAGAGTCGGACACGACTTAGCGACTGAACAATAACTAGTCAAAACTAAAAACTATAGACAATAAGATGCTGGAGTTTAGCTTTGGCTCCATCTCTTCATTCTTTCTGGAGTTATTTCTCCACTGATTTCCAGTAGCAGTTGGGCATCTACCTACCTGGGGAGTTTATCTCTCAGTGTCGTATCTTTTTGCCTTTTCATACTGTTCATGGGGTTCTCAAGTCAAGAATACCAAAGTGGTTTGCCATTCCCTTCTCCAGTGGACCACATTTTGTCAGAACTCTCCACCACGACCCGTCTGTCTTGCGTGGCCCTTCATGGCATGGCTCATAGGTTCATTGAGTTAGACAGGGCTGTGATCCATATGATCAGGGTGGTTAGTTTCCTGTGATTGTGGTTTTCAGTCTGCCAGCCCTCTGATGGAGAAGGGTAAGAGGCTTATGGAAGCTTCCTGATGGGAGAGACTGACTGAGGGGGAAACTGGGTCTTTTTCTGATGGGCGGGGCCATGTTCAGTAAATCTTGAATCCAGTTTTTGTTGATGGGTGGGGCTGTGTTCCCTCTTTGTTATTTACCTGGGGCCAAACTATGGTAGAGATAATAAAGATAATGGTGACCTCCTTCAAAAGGTCCCATGCATACACCACTACACTCAGTGCCCTCAGCCCTGCAGCAGCTACCACCGACCCATGCCTCTGCTGGAGACTCCTGGACACTTACAGGCAAGTCTGGGTCAGTCTCTTGTGGGGCCACTGATCCTTTCTCCTGGGTCCTGGTGCACACGAGGTTCTGTTTGTGCCCTCCAAGAGTTTGTTTCCCAGTCCTGTGTAAGTTCTCACGGCTCTGTGGTGGGGTTAATGGTGACCTCCTCCAAGAGGGCTTATGCCATACCCAGGTCTACTGCACTCAGAGCCCCTGCCCCTGCGGCCATCCGCTGCTGACCCGAACCTCCACAGGAGACATGCACAGTCCTGTCTCAGTCTCTGTGGGGACTCTGGAATTTGTATTATTGGTTAAAAAATATTTTATCCTAGTCTTTTGTTATATAGAGGTTAGAAAAATTCTTTTAACAAGTTGTCTTTATTTATTTATGACTGTGCTGGGTCTTCCTTGATGGGTGTGGATTTTCTGTGGTTGCAGTGAGTGGGGGCTGTTCTCTAGGTGTGGTGCACGAGCTTCTCGTTGAGGCGGCTTTGCTTTTTGCAGAGCATGGGCTCTAGGTCTCATCGGCTCAGTAGTTGTGGCACATGGGCTTAGTTGCCATGTTACATGTGGGATCTTTGTGAACCAGGGGTTGAACCCATGGCCGTGCATTGGCAGGTGGAGTCTTAACCACTGGACCACCAAGGAAGTTCAGAAGTTTTAAATTTTAATGGTGTCAAACTTATAAATCTTTTTCTTCATGGCTTTTTTTTTTACACTGTTCTTAGATTACTAGATTAAAAAAAAATGAATGTTAAAATTTTTATCAAGTGATTTTTTACTGTCTAAAGGAGTGATCATATTAATTTGTTAGTATAGTGAATTATTTTAATGAATTTGTGTTGAACCTTCCTTAAATATTTTGGAGAAAAATCTACCTGGTTATGATTTGTGATCCTTTTGAAAAACTACTGGTTTCAATTTGTTATGGATATATTTGTATACTATATAAGTTAAAATTAGAGTGTGACTTACAGTGTCTTCTTCCTCTTTTTTTTCTTCCCTCCTGCCTTTCCCTCCTCCCTTTTTCCTGACTCCTGTCCTCCTTCCTCTCTCATTCTATCTCTCTTCCTTATCTTTCTTCACAGTTTTTTATGTTGGTGTTATGTTGTTTCACAGAATAATTTAAGTTTTTCTAAACTCTATAATGGTTATATAATATAAAAATGAGTAATAAGAAATTATTTGGTATTTGTCCATTAGTTTATCTGGGTTTCACACCTTTCTTAGGATAGATCTTGGACTACCCTGTAATTTTTTTCTCATAGTTACTTGTGTGTTCGAGTTTCTATCTAACCTTACGGGGATTTTGCAGTATACAGTTTTTTAGGGAAATTGTCCATTTCAATTTCCATTTCAACTATATGTTCACCTTTATTAAATGTTTTCTTATCGTAAAAAACTCAAATATTTCAATTTTTTGCTTCTAATATTATACATTATTTTCATTCCTTCCCCTCTCCACACCCATTTTTCAGACTTACTGAACAATATTCTGTTTTATTGGTCTTTTCCAAGAAGAGCTTTGGGTTGGCTTTATTGATTGCCTGTCTCTAGCATCTATTTAGTTTCTACTTTCATTTTTATAATTTGCTTTTATTTTTCTGGCCAGGTTAAAAAATTTTTTTGTACTGTTTCCTGTAATAATTTCACTTATAGACAGTGCTGGGCTAGGTCAAGGAACTCCCATGTACTTTACCCAGAATCACCAACTGACATTTTGCCCCATTTATTTAGTTTTTTCCCCAGTTTTATTGACCTATCATTAACAAAATTATGTATATTTAAAGTGTACAATGTGATGATTTGATATACATAGTACATTGTGAAGTGATTACTACAATGAAGTTAATTAACACGTTTATCATCTCACATAGTTACCTTTTGTGTGTGTGTGTGTGTGTGTGTGTGTGGTGACAACACTTAAAATCTATTCTCTTAGCAAATTTCAAGGATATAATATAGTATTATATAGTATTATTAACTATAGTCATTATGCTGTACATTAGATCCCAAGAACTTATTCATCTTATGTGTAAAAGTTTGTACCTTACCATTTCTCTGAATGTTTTTATCTCTGTGTTTTTGCAGAACCACTTTAGTGTAAATTGGAGGCATTTTGCCCAGTTACTTCTTACTACTTAAGTGTGTTGATTTTAAGAATCACATTACAGTTATCAAAATCAGTAATTTTAACAGTGATACAGTGCTATTATTAAAGCCACAATCCATGTTTAAATTTTATCAGTTTGTTGTCCGTAAAGTTCTTTTATAAATGTTCTTTCTCATTCTGAAATATGGTCTAGGGAAATGTATTGCATTTAGTTGTCTCTTTAATGTCATTTAATCTGAAACATGTCATCAGACTTTTTTTGTGTGTGTTCTTTAACCTTTATGTTGTTAAAATATAGACCAAGTGTTTGTTAGTTTTTTTTTTTAAGAATAGCCCTCAATTTGAGTTTGCACAATTAAACTAGTTGAGGTTATACATTTTTTATATAGTAGAAATACTACAGTAGCAGTGATGTGTCCTTAGTGCATAATATCAGAGACCACCTGATATTGTTTGTTTATAGCGATGTCTGCAAAGTTTGCCCAGTGTAAAGTTACTATTTCTCTCTGTCATTAATAAATAATCTATTAGGAGACATTTGATGATGTTAATACCTATTTCTCATTAGCCTTTTACCTCTGAGTTAATTTTATCATTCTGTTTCAAGTCTGTCATATTGAAACTTAATAGTTTTTCAGCTTTATTTTCTAAAGTACTTAAGATTATAAATTTTTCTTAATATATTACTTTGATATATTAACTAACATACTTACAGTAGGGTTGGAAATGAAGACAGGAGATGGGGAGATTGTCTATATAATAATGTACTACGCGGAAACTGGCAATAAGATCCTGAAGTGAAGTGAAGTCGCTAAGTCGTGTCCGACTCTTTGCAACCCTATGGACTGTAGCCTACCAGGCTCCTCTGGCCATAGGATTTTCCAGGCAAGAATACTGGAGTGGGTTGCCATTTCCTTCTCCAGGAGATATTTCTGACCCAGGGATTGAGCCTGGGTCTCCCGCATTGTAGACAGTTGCTTTACTGTCTGAACCACCAGGGAAGTCCAGTAATGTCCTAAAGAGGGCGTTTTAAAGGTGTCCCAAGTTACCCTTGTCTTAACAAAATGTTTCCAGTGCTGATTTAAAGGACACGAGATACAGTTTATGATGATCATGATTGTCATACTTATGAGTAATAGTAAGTCCTGGAAAATTATGAAGTTAAGAAGTATGTTTCTTTAGTGCCACTGGTACCTCAGGACTTGGTCAGTGCACAGTGTCTCAAACATTTACTTTATCATTTCAGGAGCAGAAGAGCTGGCATGGAAGAATCCTCTGTCAAGCTGGTTTACTGCTATGCTCCACTGCTTTGGTGGAGGAATTTTATCCTGTATACTGCTTGCAGAGCCTCCACTTAGGTTTCTTGCAAACAGCACTAATATATTACTGGCATCTTCAATCTGGTAAGCTGCCATTGTGGTGAACTATTTAAAAAATTGTTCTGTAAATTGTTAGTAAATGGTATTTTGTTCTTTAAAAAATATTTTATGTTCTTAGAAGTTAACGCATTTGCAAGGGAAGGCACCCAAATAGTGCCCAAGGTTTTAAATGCAAAGTATATCTCTTTCTCACCCATCTCCCCTGTTCTCTCTCAGAGGTAGGCATTGTTACCATTTTCTTATGTGTATTTCAGTTCAGTTCAGTTGCTCAGTCATGTCCGTCTCTTTGCGACCCCATGAACCTCAGCACGCCAGGCCTCCCTGTCCATCACCAACTGCCGGAGTTCACCCAAACTCATGTCCATTGAGTTGGTGATGCCATCCAACCATCTCATCCTCTGTCGTCCCCTTCTCCTGCCCTCAATCTTTCCCAACATCAGGGTCTTTGCAAATGAGTCAGCTCTTCGCATCAGGTGGCCAAAATATTGGAGTTTCAGCTTCAACATCAGTCCTTCCAATGAATACCCAGGACAAATCTCCTTTAGGATGGACTGCTTGGATATCTTTGCAGTCCAAGGGACTCTCAAGAGTCTTCTCCAACACCATAGTTCAGAAGCATCGATTCTTTGGTGCTCAGCTTTCTTTATAATCCAACTCTCACATCCATGCATGACTACTTGAAAAACCATAGCCTTGACTAGACAGACCTTTGTTGACAAAGTAATGTCTCTGCTTTTTAATATGCTGTCTAGGTTGGTCATAACTTTCCTTTCAAGGAACAAGCGTCTTTTAATTTTATGGCTGCAATCACCATCTGCAGTGATTTTGTAGCCCCCCAAAATAAAGTCAGCCACTGTTTCCACTGTTTTCCCATCTATTTGCCATGAAGTGATGGGAGTGGATGCCATGATCTTAGTTTTCTGAATGTTGAGCTTTAAGCCAACTTTTTCACTCTCCTCTTTCACTTTCATCAAGAGGCTCTTTAGCTCTTCACTTTCTGCTATAAGGGTGGTGTCATCTGCATATCTGAGGTTAGTGGTATTTCTCCCAGCAATCTTGATTCCAGCTTGTGCGTTTCTCATGATGTACTCTGCATATAAGTTAAATAAGCAGGGTGACAATATACAGCCTTGACGTACTCCTTTCCCAATTTGGAGCCAGTCTGTTGTTCCACGTCGAGTTGTTCCATGCTTCCTGACCTGCATACATGTTTGTCTTTAGTGGAAGCATTTCAAATATGAAAGGACATCAAATACTTGACCTCCAACAGTTGATCTTGTGAACCTAACCTGTGCTTATAGTTACACAACTTAATAATCAAGAGTGTGACCAACTGCACAAAAAGTCCAAGTGATTATGATATTTCTGGTAATTGTTCTTGTCATACTCTGTTCGATTTTTCTGAGTCTTATGAAATTTAACATTACTCTGGAAGTGAAGAAAAAAATGTTAATAGGAATTGCTTTGGATTCTTGCAAATTCTGCTTCAGTTATCTTTAAGAGGAGAGATCCTCTAAGTTAAAAAAAAAAGTATAATACCAATCAGAGAGCTTTGTTAAACCTAAAGCAGAAACTTTTGATTAAAAATCAAATCAATGAAATATGTAACATTAGGAACATTTGAAGTTAATTTTTATTGTGACTTTTTAAAAAAAATTTTAAAAACTTTATTTATTTGGCTGAGTTGGGTCTTAGTTGCAACATGAGAGATCTTCATTGCATCTTATGGAGCTTTTTGTTGTGGCACATGGATTCTCTAGTTGTGGCAGTTGGTCTTCTGTAGTTTTGACACATGGGCTTCACTTACTCCACGGCTTGTGGGATCTTAGTTCCCTGACCAGGGATAGATCCACTTCCCCTGTATTGCAAGGCAGATTGTTAACCAGTGGACCACCAGGGAAGTCCCCATTGTGATAATTTTAAATATGTGCTCAGTTGCTAAGTCGTGACTGACTCTTTGTGACCCCATGGACTGTAGTCCACTAGGCTCAGACTCTGTCCATGGGATTTCCTAGGCAAGAATACCGGAGTGGGTTGTTATTTCCTTCTCCATTTAAATATGTAACCAGTTATAAAAGGGGATGTTATAAATAGTAGTAGCAATGGGAAAAATAGTGGGAACCCGTAGCCATAGAAACTGTTTGGAGTAGAATAATAAGTTTGCATAGCAAATACGTATTGAGCTGTTACCATATGTCAGCTAAATTTTATATTCATTGTCATATCATAAGGATCTAATGAAGTAGCTCCTATTATTTCCATTTGAAAAATGAGAAAACTGAGGCATAGAGAAACTTCACTGTTCTTTTCGTACTTAGTACATGATTGAGCTAGGATCAAAACCAGGAAGCCTGACTGCAGAGCCTTGACACTTCACAACCACTTTCTCTCATTTGTTTGCTTAACTGTTTCTTAAACCTTCCAGTTACTATGTGTTTTAAAACATTTTCTCAAGGACTTTTATTTCTATAGCAATATTTTAAAAGGATATTAACATTTTGGAGAATTTTTTTTTAATGTGTCTAGATGCTGAAGCTATATGAGAGTAGGATATCCAGACTCTGACACTTTTCATCACTTTCAATTCTACTCCTATATACTAACTACCACTATTGCCTGGACAGTTGCAGTAGCTTCCTCAGTGGTCTAGCTGCTTCTTTCATTATCCCCCTGAGTCTTGTCTTTATTTTTGCTGCTGTTTAGTCACTGTTGTATCCAACTCTTTTCGATATAGTGGATAAAAAGTGATTATTTAAAAATAACTTATTAGAACATGTTACTTCTATGATCAGTATTTTCTTATCTTATTAAGAGGAAAATTCAAAACTCCTAGCATACCCTGTAAGACTGTAAAATCTTGCTTCCACTCTGTGGTAATGGCTTTCTGGCCTGTTCCTGTCAGCCCGCTCTGGTCACGTTGGCGTTGCCGTTCTCTGGAACACAAAGGCATTGTTCCGTCTCAGTGCCTTTGTGCTTGCTCTCTTTTCTCTGTGGTGTGCTTTTCCCAGCAGGCTCATGTTTTCTTTCTTTGGAGAGGTCTTCTCTAAAAAACATACCTCCTCTCCCATGACTAGCTCATCATGCTTCTTTTTTTTCTTCCTAGATTTATTGCTGTCTGGTGTGTCCTCTGTTTATTTCTTTTTATGATGGTTTGTCTCACTCCACTAGAATAGCAGCCTATCAGAGCAGGGACTTTGTTTTGTTGATTGTGTGCCAAGTACTACTGTTCTAGGCTCAGTAAGTACATTGCTAAAGGAATGGACTGCTTGTGTTACATGGGATTTCTGTAATCGAGTGGCTGGAAATTACAGATCTTGATTAGTGGTTCATTAAATGAAATAAAATTGCTTGTCTATAGATATATACTTCCTTGGCTGAAACTAAGAGATATGTTAGAAATGGAAAATAGATCCATTTTTATGTAGTTAACTAATAGTATAGTATTTAGTTGTTAATTTGAAATCTTTTATTATTCCCACTTAATACAAGAGGAAATTGATGCTTGATATATTGATAAATGATAGGGTCTCAATTTCAAATTAGCATGCTCTTAACCAAGAAGAACTTTCATTATAAACAATATGTTTTTTAATTTAAAAGTTTCAATTAATATTGAGTAGGTACAAAGGAATATTTATAAAATATGCAGAGTACAAAGAATTATGACACAATAAAAACTTGTATATCCATCATTTACATTAAAAAAATATTCAGTTCAGTTTCTCAGTTGTGTCCAACTGTTTGTGACCCCATGGACTGTAGTATGCCAGGCCTCCCTGACCACCTGGAGTTTACTCAAACTCATGACCATTGAGTCGGTGATGCCATCCAACCATCTCATCCTCTGTCATCTTAAATATTTTATTATAAAGTAAAAATTCATAAAACCAAGTATATCGCCTGATAAATTATTGCTAGGTATATCCTTGAAACCATGACCCAAGTCAAGAAATAAAGCTTTGTCATCTGTCCCAGAAGTTCCTTCTGGGTGTCACATTCCAATCACAACTCCCTTTCCACCTTAAATAATAAAAGAAGAAAAGACTGACTATCGCCATTTTGAAATTCTCAATTAGTTATCAGACGAAAGTCATTAAGAGTGCTAACGTCAGCAAAAAAAGCTAATCAGACATTTTGGGTCTCTTATGGTCTTACTAAATAAAGGGGTCTAACCTGAATTTGATTTAGATTCTTTCTTCCAGAAGAAAGTACAAGGTGAATCTTATATTAACTAGTAAGGAAGCTAATCAGTCTCAAGAGCCAATCTGAAGAAACTCCCCCTGGTCAATGAAGGGACAATTTGAGCTTTAATAATAAAATTCCAATTTATTGAAACCCATAAAATATGCTTAATCCATGAGCTCATCCTTACTTAAATTTTTTTTTTAAATAACAAAAACAAAAAGAACTGGTCACTTTTGGAGAACATCAGGGGACCAATTCATATCCTGAAAACTGTAAACAAAGAGCAAGAATCTAGTATTTATCCTTCCTTTCCTAAACGAATGATACAACTAGGTAACCAAATAATAGATGATAGCACGCCATTATCCTGACTTTTATGTTTATGACTTCTTTGCATACAAAATTTTATCATCCAGATGTTCATTACAAGACACTATAATTTAGTTACATCCATTAAAAATTTTAATGTCTCTTAAGTCTCTCTGATTTTATTAGTTCCCTTTCCATTCCGTTTTTCCTTATAGTTGTCTCTTGAAGAACCAGAGCTGTTTGACATGTAGACTTTACTATGCTCGTGAGTTTGCTGATTGCATACTCATGGTGCAGATCATTATATTGCTCTATTCTCTGTGTTTCCTGATAATTGGCAGATTGATCCAGAATCCAGAGCAGATACATGTTCAGTTCAGTTCAGTCGCTCAGTTGTGTCCAACTCTTGCGACCCCATGATCAGCAGCACGCCAGGCCTGCCTGTCCATCACCAACTCCTGGAGTCCACCCAAACCCATGTCCCTTGTGTTGGTGATGCCATCCAGCCCTCTCATCCTCTGTCGTCCCCT